ACGTTTTAAATGTAGCACTACTTTCATTCATGAAAGGAGAGGAACTTCAAAAGTTTTACTTGACACAACATTAGTTGACTCTTTAAGAGCTACATTTTCTAACAACACATTTGTAGGTTAGATGTTAGGAAGAACTTCTTTACTGAAAGGGTTGTTGGGCACTGGAACAGGCTGCCCAGGGAGGTGGTGGAGTCACCATCCCTGGAAGTCTTCAAAAGACGTTTAGATGTAGAGCTTAGGGATATGGTTTAGTGGGGACTGTTAGTGTTAGGTTAGAGGTTGGACTCAATGATCTTGAGGTCTCTTCCAACCTAGAAATTCTGTGATTCTGTGATTTGGTTACAGGAAATCTTAAAATATAAGAATAAATAAGAAAAATAAGAGTAAATATAAGAGAAAATTATTTGTTTCCTCGAGAAACTTGGAAAATTAAAACAGGCTCTTTTGTGGAGCCTTCTGCAGCCTGGAGTTCTGATTCTGACCACTGAAATTAATGAACTTCATTTAAACACAGAAGCCTACTGAACTGTGGAAGTGGGAGCCTGGATTTTAATTTTAGCCATGGGATGAGATGGATAATGTAAAAAATACATGGGGAGCTGTAGTGATTGCTCAGCTTTACAAAGTGACTCCACAACAGCATGCTCCTTTGTGTACCCCCTGCGCCTTGATATTTTTTTTACATGAAAGCCAGTCAATTGATTTCTCTCCAGATTGATCTCACAGTGAGATCACAGCTGATCCTAGGGACCTAAGGCTCTGAAGTTTAATACTAGACACTCAATCTGCTTGCAGAGATCTCCTTTTCACAGCCACCTACTGTCATCTTGTTGTAGCCCAAACTTAGACTTTGGCCTAAAGCTATTTTTTGTTGCTAAATAGGTATGTGTTCTAGGAAATCTTTCATCATATCTTCTAGTGTGAGCCCCCAGTGTCTTTCTTTGGCCCCTCCTCTGAAATGCCCGATTCAGAGCACTCTAGTGTTATTTACCTTTGTTCCAGTTTTTTAACCTTTAGAGTGATCTTCTGAAATTCTATGCGATATCAGTAGTAACAAAAGAGTCCATTCTTTTAATTGCTTCATTTTTGTCTATCAGTTTGTCCTCTGAGTGTAGATCTGTAAGAGCAAAGGGCTGGCTTGGCAAAATATTCATGAAGAATACTCCCAAATTCATTTCAGTCTTTTCTCTGCAATCAAAAACCCTCACTGGCAGTTCTGTTCAAAGATTTTCAGTTCTATTATGTTGTTTGGTAGCATCAACAGATCTCAGAGGGAGCTCCGTTGAATCAGATACTGGATAAATAGACACATTTTGCTCCCCAAAACACACAGTGTAAAGAAAATCTAAATAAAGAAGTCAGGTAAACCTAGAATGCTATCCTGATGTTTTTTCAGTGATCTTTCAGTAACCTGGTGGGCACCATTTCTGGCTGGAAAGCAGTGTGAAATACAGCAAAATGATCTCCATATAGATGTATTTAGATACATGCAGAATAGAACAGGGATTGGAAACTGATGTTGATGGTTTTTCACCTTTCTGGAAACCAACATCCAGATATTTAAGATATGCAGAAGTGATGGATCTACATTTTTGTGAGTTTTCATTTCTGGTTCTGAAAACACCTCGTCTTAATATCTCACAGGTACAATAACTGCCAAAAAATGACTACTGCCCTTTAATTAACAAGACAGAAAATACCAGTATTTTTCTCAGATATAATTGCACTTCCCAATGAAGCCTGAATAAAGCCTGAATTCTGAATAATGTTGATATATTGGCTCACTTAGAAAAGCATTGTTAGCAGCTGATTGCTTATATAATCTCCTTGGCAATTTTTTACATTTACGGTGTCCTTATTTTGTTACAAGAAAAGAACATAGAGGTTTTTACTTCAGTTTGGTCCATTAATTTTCCCAAGTCATTTGGACAGCAAGGTATTAACCAGCCTCCTATGCAGTCTCAATGACATACTATTTCTAAAGCACCTAAATTGAGTGCTTTTAGTCTAAGGCTTAAGGCTTTCATTAGAAACAGGCCACATTACCCATGAAAGATTAATGCCCATATGAACAAGAAGGGGTAATGTAATCAGGAATAGAGGTCTTATATCATCATAAAAAATGTGGCTTACTGAAAAACACAGTAAAAAAGATTAGGAGTTTTAAACAAAACCCCAATGCTGATTCTTTTATCATTAACAACAGATTAAAACTAATTACCTTCCAATCACAGAAGAGCACAGTCTGATGTTCCAGTCATACTATGCGGTGATTATAAGGCAGGTGTGGAGCAAAGGGAATGCTCAACCAACACACGTGAAGACATGAATGGCTAGAATTAGTTCTGTATGTTATGCTATTCTAGTTTGTTTGTTTGTTTGTTTTGTTTTGTTTTGGGGGGGGCAGGGAGGGGTGTTGCAATCTCTATGGGAAGTAGGAGGATCCCTTCCTGTTCCCCTTCCCATTCCCCTTCCCCTTCCTCTCTCCAAGGACGTTCTGTTCACAAATGTACATTTTGGTGATTTGTAGACGTACAGCATTTCAGCCAAGTAATCTGAAGATGCATCAAAGCTGGGTACATTTCTGTGAAATTCTAGGAACTGTAATGATAGACAAGGTAAAGAGCAAGTCCAAAGTTCCTCAAGCCCATTCAGCTTTTTTCTGTTGCATTTTCTAATATTATGTTGGAGAATGAAGAGGCCTTTGAAACAGCCAAAGAAGCAAAAACTGAAATCAAAACTTTGATTGCAGTTTGCTGCAAAGCCTCTTTCTAATCAGTATGCTTTTGATTTTGCTCTCTGTGGTATATGATATTTTGCTGAATATTTACTTTTTTTTCCTTTTTCAGTAAGAATGTTGAGTGTTCTCGGTGTCATACATGGATATTGTGGACTCAATTGTTACTCATTTTGGTTAAAAATCCTGATAGTTTTGTTTCATTTTATTTTCCAGTGAGACTGTTCACATGAGCAAGGTCAGCTTTCATGGCTGAGCAATATCTACTGGACCCCCAAATGTAAGTGGGGAAACCAGTTCCCAGGAAAAAATAAAATATTAAAAAAAAAAAAAGACACAAAAAACAGACAAATAAAAAATCCACACAATAAAAAACAAAACAAAACAAAACAAAAAAACAACAACAACAACAACAAAAAAACAACTTTAATGTGATGATTAAATATAACAAAATAGTGTGGGTAGATACTGTGTTAAAGAAATGTTTAAGTGAAATATTTTTATAAACTTAATGGAATAGGAGAGTCCTGATAGTGAATAGTTTCAGGTCAAGACATGCTAGTAGAGGTCTGGCCATGGGGTAAGCTGCAAGGAGAGAGGGATGTCTTTGCACCTGTGGATGGGAACTTCAGTGTGGGTACGAGTTTGGTGCCGGGGGCACCCTGTTCCAGGACAGAGTTTCTCAGATGGTGTAATCACAAGTACAAGGCATTTTATTTCAAATACATTAAATGGGTGTATTAAGTGTGTATATTTATAGCTTTCAGGCTGTTTCTAAGCAGTTTTAGACCTAATAGTTCTATTGGGTGATTTCCTAAACCAGTCAGCTCTAAGTGTCGAGTTCATAATGTAGAGTTCATTCTTCCTACAGTCCTTTGCTGAGGCCAATTTCTTTGCATTCTCCATCTGCAGACATCTCGTTTTGACTTAGGTTTAAATGCTTTACTTATAAAGCCATACATTATAAACATCTTATTAAACAATCTACAAAGGGGAATTTTCTCTAGTATTACCTTTATACTTACCTAATCTACTTTTAGATAAGCAACAGAAGGTTTGTTTGTTTGGTTGGTTTTGTTGGCTGTTTGTACAGCTCCTAACATAACAGAATAGTGGTCTGTGGCTGATTTCTAGATATTTGTCAAGACCCACACTCCTTTCATAGAGTTATTCTCAACAGAGCATCTGACATTTTTACATCCTTAATTCAAGCTCTCACTTTGGATCAAAGCCATTATATGTTTAGCATGCAATCCTGTTCTTGCAGTGCCGAAGATTAGAGCTGAAGAAATGATTGGATTCTCCCAGGAGCTGTCTGAGGAAAGCTCCAAGAGGGTGCCTTAGTGTAAGATCCTCTCTTACCTCAGTATAGGAGTATATTGGGAGTGAGTTTAGATGGCTAAACAGGTACAGTGCTCTATTGGTCCTCCAATGTCATCTCCATGCTGCCAGTCTTTTCTCTTATTCTCTAAAATTATGGGCAGACGTGCAAAGGTAGCTCTGTTAATCCTGTCTTTACCAGAATTCAGTGTGGCCTAGATGCAAATGAGAAATTACCTTGCTAATTTATTTTGTCTGTTCTTTGCTGCTATACTACATATTATTTATGTATAGCAACATTTCATGAATTTTTATTTCTTTACTGATCATTAATAACTTAGGCTGGAGGGGACCTCTGAGGGCAATCTAGTCCAACCTCTTGATCAAAGCAGGATCAACTTTGAAGTTGCTCAGGTTGCTCAGGGCCGTGTCTTGGTGAGATTTTAAATATCTCCAATGACAGAGTGAGCAAATAGTTCTTCACCGCTCTGACTACGAAGATATTTTGACTTATGACTAGTTGGATTTCCTATGCTATAGCTTGTCATTGCTTCTTGTCTATTTGCTGTGTGCCTCTGATGAGAGTCTGGCCCTCCCTTCTGTCTGTAATCCTCCTTCAGGCAGTGGAAGACTGCAGTTAGGTACCCTCTTATCCTTTTTTTCCTCAGCTCAAGCAAACCGTTATCATACCTCATGTATTTCAGCCACCTATACATCCTCATGGCCTGCTGTTGGACTTGATCTAACTAGACAATGTTTTGCTTGTACTGGGAGGCTCAAAAATGGACACAGATCAATTGTTATTTTCACAGGCATTGCATAGAGGGGAACCATTGTTTCTGTGATCTTCTAGCCAGCCATGCTTTTGCTAATGTAGCCCAGTAGCAGTAGCTCTTCATCACCACAAAATCTCTCTATTGACTGATGTTCAACTTGTTCACAGGAATCCCGAGGTCTTTTTCTGTGAACTTTCCCTCTAGATAGGTGGATCCCTTCCCTATACCATCACATGGACTAACTCTGTTTCAGGTGCGTGACTTTTGCATTATTTCATTTCATATCGTTGTTGTCGGTCTATTTCTCCAGCTTGTCGCACTTTCTCTGAACTGTATCTGGGCTCATTGATGGATCAGTCCCCCTCTTAGCACCATCTTCAAGCTTTTTGAGGAAGCTTTCTTTTATCACAGTTGTTGCTGATGTTGCACAGTATTAGCCTCAAAATCAACCCCTGAGTAAAGCCACTCCAAGCTGACCTCTGGTTAGACTTTGACCATTTCACCGCTGCCCTGTGAGTCCAAAGGTCCAGCCAGTTGTCTACCCTGGTTCTGCATAGCTAGCTACAAGGATGTAATGGGATACCATGTTGACATCAGGACTGTGGAAATTGTGACAACAAGTTTCATCTTTACTGACCAGTGTACAATTTCAGGCAAAGTAACCGAGTGTAATATTGATAACTCAAGTAATCCTCTATGTATGAGGAACATACATACTGGTGCCCAGCTTCAGTTATGCTCTGTAATGAATACATGGAATTGAATGAATAGTGTAGTTTTTAATGAAGTTTTCTATTGTTATTTCTCCTGTCTTTTGTACTACCACTTGCATTTCAAGTACTCAGACGTTTTATGAATCAACTACAAGATCTCATTTGAGGTTAAAATGTCATAGTTTAGGAGTTCACAACATATGAAATGTCATGAAGGAGCACCAATTTGGCAATACTCAATTAAGGTTAAAATAATATTGCATAGCACGGATTCTCTGTCAAAGGTAGCATTCACAAAAATGATTCTTCTTTTTCCAATTTAAATTTCATGTGGCCTTCCAATTATTTTGAATTTTTTTTTATTTTTTTTTAAGCTGGAAATTGCTGTAGGTAGCAGATTTAGTTAATGCTGTAAATTTTATAAGTTGTGATGCTCAATGTGCCAAATCCCTGTTAATTCCATATCTTTTAAGCTCTTTCGTAGTTTTAAAATTCTCAATAAACTGCACAAAATTCAATTACAATTAAAGCATAGGTTTGATGTTGGTAGTAGTGTTTTGTTTTGTTTTTTTTTTTAGATAAACAATTATACTTGAATGTTCATTTTGTGTCTGGTAGTGATAATAGAAAAAAAAAAACAGTCATGATTGGGATTAGTTGTCAGGCAATTATGTATTTAAGTAATTAAGACTATCTTCCATTATGTTGAATACTCTAAAAAATTCCCACATAATTGATGTCATTCTTGTCCAGGGAGAAGGTTTTGTCCCCACTGAATATTAATATTATTCCCAGATTTGAAAAAAGTGCCTGGCTTCTATGACACCCTCTCCCTCCTCTGCACTCCTCCAGTGAAAGTAGGCAAATCATAAATGGCTTGAAAACAAATTTTGTGCTTTTAAATGTTGCTTAAAATATAGCGAAGTATTTTCAGATTATGCTTTCCAGATCCTATCCCTCTGCAATATTATACAGAGCACAGCTATACCATTTTCTTGAAAAAGCTAGCAGTAGTGAACAAGATTTTGCATAAACAAATGAAACTAGTTTGAATGTCAGAATAAATATGCAACTTTTTACCAAGGAATCAGTTTCTTCTACATTTATATTTGTATGAAACATACCAAAGATAGAAAGGTCCTCAATACCTGATGCAAATATATTGATAGCAAAATTAGTCTTACACATGTAGCGTTGAGTTGTGCGATGTTGAAATGACTCTGTTCTGTCAATGTTTTAGAAATGCTGTTTGGGGTTGGAGTCTCTATTCGTGTTGACTTTTCAGAGATTTGCATGCAAAAGGCTTTTGCTAATAGGCTTTATTAAAATTATTTGTCATTGTGTATTCCTTGCCTAACTGGGGATGCCCGTTTTTCTTCAACTCATCTTATCTGGCATTGTGCTGTTTTATTCTTGGGGTATGTGAAAAACACACAGAACTCAAACTCAAGTGAGTAATGATACCACGAAAGACGTGAAATTCTGAGGAGGATAGTGAAATTAGGAGCAAAGCATCCCCGTCTTCTACACTCTTGCATCTTTTCCATGCAGATGCCATAGTGCTTGCAGTAACCACTGTGAAAATGTTGTGCCTATGTGGTATTACAAAGAAGCCTTTTGGGATGGCAAAGCCTTCCCAGAAGCCAGGAACTCAATGTGTGTAACATTAAATAGGTGTTAATAAGGTGGTTACCTGCTTTCATTTATTTGTTTTAATTCCTTTGTTTCAAAAGAAGATATTTAAACAATGATCAAAACTATGGAAACTGCTGGTGTCAAGATGAATGTCAATGATGCAAACATAATTTTAAAGATTTTCTGTAGCTTTTGATTTCCACGAAGGTCTAAAATAAAATCATTCATTGAAATTTCCCCTATTTTTTATACAAAAACTCACTAGAAATTTTGGTTCCCACGTGGCTTCACTTAATGTTCTGTGAGACAGATATATCTGAGTCTTAGAACAGTGTATTGAAAGACAAATGAAGCATGCTGCTGCTGTACCACCAGCAAGGGACCATCGTTATTGTTTCATCAGCGTTCAGTATGTTGTCTGTGAGTTATTTTAACTTGGCTCTTCATAACTTTGTTGAAATAAACATTAAGGGAATGGCCTCCCCTTTAAATACTGCAGTATGCAGAAAACTTGGGATTTCACTTTCTGCTCTTTAAATAATCATTAGTGGCAAAATAATCTTGATATGGTGTCATAAACACATCTCATTAGCAGCTATGTATTTATATATTTAAAACTGCTAATAGCTTTCAATGTGATCATTATGGGTAATGCTCTTGAACAGTATCCATCTGATCTTTCATTACCATTTTCCTAAACTCTAACAACCACCCAACCAAAGAACAACCCCCATAGGCAGAAGTGCATGAATTAAATTAAAATTTACATTTTCCAGGGTTTTTCAAGGTGCTTTCCAAAATCATCTATTCTGCGCTTATTAAAACTGTAGTACAGTTAGAACAGTCTGTAAGCAACCCTTATCTCCAAGGAGTTTGAATGGCTGAGTAATCTAACTGGACAGTTAAGGATTTTCTGTCTGAACTGATTGATGTTAATTTTAATAATCCTAGACTTATATCCCTTATTGTTTCAGAGAGTCATTAGCAGAGTTTAAGTTTTTTTTTTTTTTTCTCCATTACAAACAATTCTGTATCCCTGCTGATCGTTAGGGCAAGGAGTTGCCCAGCTCAGAAAAAGAAAATCATGATAGTAATGTAAATGTAGGGGGGTGATTTCAGAAGTAGACTTTTGCATTTAATGGTATATCTTCAGTACTGCGCTATATGCAGTTTCGAAGTTTTTAAGAGTGTTCTACAAAGTCCCTAAGTTAAATTTTTGAAAAAGATATTGCACACTACATTTTGATATGCAAGATAAATTTAAACACTTTCATAGTCTTATCATTGACGTAGAAAATCCAGGACCTACATATTCTTTAGGACATGAACTATACTCATTTGTAGTCACTATAAATTTATATCCATCTGCTTAAAGAAAGGCAGTTTCATTTTCTTTAGCCACAAAAGTACTTCTGACAGGATTAAGTAGAATGGTATTCTTTGGGATCTTTATAGGATGAAATTCACTTCATTAGGTTCCAGAATTTGGCTCAGATTTCATCCCAATATTCCTGGACTCTAGAATAATCAAGGTAAAAATTCATACTCTATTTCCACATAGTTGATAGTAGGCATCTCTTTTAGGATGACGTAGATGCAAAGCTGTGTTTGCACTACTTCACCCAATTATTTTCATGATTAAGCTTAAGCGTAGTATTAGGTGAGTTTCATGTACATTTCTTGCAAGCAATTGTTTGCCTGCATATATATATATATTTAATATAGACATAATCATGATTGAGAGACCATACAAAAATGTCATACCCCTAAAAGTTTATACATCCAAAGTAATTCTCTGATTCTGAACCGTATTTGGTTAGTTCATTCAATAATGTCTTCGTACTGTTTTTCTAGGTGTTCTGGATACTGTTGGATTAATTCATCCATGTTAGCCAGTCAACCTTCAAACACTGAAATATCTGATTTCAGAAGACTGATTTAGTTTGTAGATTGACTCACACATCAAAACTGATAGTTGAATTCAGATCACAGAGTCTACTGTATTATTTATTCATGTTTTCAGAAAGCACCCAGCAGGACTCTAGGCCCTGAGTATGTATATTTGTAAAATGAGTTAAGTTGATCTGAAAGAGAGAGAGAAAAATAAAATATAAATTCTCATATCCACAAACAATTAATTTTTCTCCAAGTAAAAACTTAAATCTGTATTCATAGAGCAGATCTGAACATAAATACTGTCAGTGTTCATGCTACAATATATTATCATTTACATCATGAGGAAATAAGAGTTTGTGCTTAACAGAATATATGTCCATTATATTATTTTTTACCCTTGATTTTATGTTTATCTTTGATTAGTTCCAAGACTGAAATTGTTTTTACAGAGAAATCCTTTCTAGCTATACAAAAGTCACAAAGAAGAGGTGTTCGTGATCTGGTTTTAGAATTGAGGACCTTAGTAGCTCTAAGGATCATAAGCATTAGGAGCAAAAGAAGTTTTCCACTGTGTCTTAACCTTGACATTTAGTGAGTAGAAATAAGAGTAATGTATCACATGATCATCTTCAGCCTCGTCTTTTTCAAACCCAGGGTGGAAATGGCTTTTACACTTTTTCGTATCAAGTTGTTCTCCTATAAATTGAATTGATTGTATTTTTATTTACTTTATAGACAGAGATTACACCTCTTAATCATATACAGTAAAAACTCATTAGCTGAGAAACTATTGGCTTTTATTCTGCCATTGAGAAAGAACTTGCGCTTGGTGTCTCTCACACCTGTAAGTATATTTTCTAACTCCTCATTTCTTCTCTAATTACTTCTTGATTGTGGGGTAAATTCTCTAAGCCGCATTTGAAAGAAAATCATTGTCTTTTTATCTTCTCTGTGGGGAATTCATTCCACTTGTTTACTGATGTGTGTGGCAGGCTGAATAAAATGATTC